TTAACAATGTACAAAGAAATAATTTATAATTACGAATAGTCATTAGTCTCTTCCTCTTTAAAAAGTCCTCTTTTTCCTGTAATCGCGTTTTATTATTGTCCATAATGACGCGATGTCTTTTTGAAAATCTTAGGACGATACAGGAATGTCGGTTGAAACCACCGACAGACCGTGTGCACCACCGCAAAATAGGAATCATGGATAGGAACAACAGCAGGAGTCAGGGCAGATGTTGTGGCCGTTGTGGCGAGTAATCCTTGGGGAGAGAAAGAGAAAGAGAGGGAGAGAGAGAGAATGGGCATCGGGCAGACACTCACTACAGGTTCTACTGTTGCTATTGGACAACTATGAAATCGAATTAGTGACGGGAGTATGCTATTCAACTCTTTACCACCAACGAATCTCTACTCTCTTTCTCTCTTTCTCTTTCTATTTCTCTCTTCCTCCTTTTTCATTCTCTTTGGCATTTGGTAAACAGAGTATAGGAGATTATTCAAACGACGATATAGTGGTTGCTCTTACCACTCGTCGTTGATCGACAAATTATTCGAATTTCATGGTCAATGACCTATGATATCTGCGAGGAAAGCACGAATCGAAAATGAGATTTCCCAGCTCTCTCTCTTGCATATTGTGCTCGAATGCTGAGAGAACCAAAAGTAAGCGAGAGAATGAGATGAAAGTGTTCTAGGCGATCGGAATCGCAGATGTTACAACTACAGGAAAAAGGATCTTCCATAAGATTTTTCTAAGAAACCGAATAGAGACTCTGCTGACGATGCTTGCTCAAGGTAAAGTCACTTAGCGAGTCGTCCATCTTCTCGGGAAAGTATAATTCCTTTAAAAAAAAAATAGCCCTTCGCCTATAACGATTATTTCACGAACTTCAAATGAAGAATTTCGTTTCAACGATAAACGGATTAATGGTACTGCCCTATGCCAATTATTTCGAACGAGCACAGCTGCGAAATGATTTTGTCCGTCGTTAATCGTTTGCATCGGGCACGTCGACACGTTCGTTTCATTGGACGGCGCATTGAAAAAGTGCACATGAAAGTCGACAGAAGAGATGCCTTAATCGACGGAATTAAATTCCGGCCTGTCGAAACTTTGAATTACGAGTGGTTGCCACATTGTTAATTTCACGTCCGTCAAAATTGTGTCCTGTAGTGGAAACGAGATTTATGCTCATGTCATTATTATTACTTTATCTGTCTTTTCGTCTTTACGAAACGAAGATGTCCCATGAGAATTCATCTTCCAACGACTCGTTAAATTCCAACAATTCTTCTTCATTTCCCATTTAGCATTATTTCCGAATATAATAGTTGGCAATAAATTAATCGTATTAATTATAATAAAAATACGGAGGAGCTCTCTTTTGCTCTCTTAAGAAAATCTCTCTCGAAGATGAATTATGTAATTTAAAAGAAATATGAGTAGCGTTTAGTCCACCCTTATACTGGTAAAAATCTTGTTACATCAAATATTCTTTTACAAACGTCCTATATTAAGTTCCATATCTATTCGTTAGGTATATAAGAAAAACGTAGGAAAGAAAAAAAGAAAAGAAAAGGAAATCGCATTCATTTCAATGAATTATTTCATCTCCATAAAAATCATATTTTCGTTTAAAACACCGGCCAGAGATAGTACGTTCTTTTTCTGCATACTCAAAGAGACATTATTATTTAATTAAAGCGGAAACTCGTCTCGCGTGTACCAGTACGCTCGAACGAAACGCACAAGAGCAAAGTCAACTCTTTTGTTGGGTGACGGGCCGTATATTCGCTAGTATAAAACTGCTCGACAAATTAGCGAATCGTTTCTTCCCCTTCCTGTAAGCCACCATCGTCGCGTAATAAACTTCACAATTATCAAAATTAATTAAATTCGACCAGCGACGTGTAGCCAAATTGGTCGGGCACGGCTGTGCACGAGTGAAAGACTCGTTTCCTCTGCTGATTTAGAGTTTAAATGAATAGACCCTCTAACGATAATGTGTTAAGAGTGATGTTAGGAAAAAAAAAATAGAAAAAAGAAATGTTAAAACATAATAATTATAGTCCGACTGGATCTTGATCGTTGAAGGGTGTTACAAAAATTATCGTTCCATTATAATTTATTATTTATTACAACGTAAAACATGTTTCTTTTTTCGTTTCATCAGTAAACTCCAAATAGTAATAGGAATATTTGATAGGACTATAATTTTCTAATAACGACTGAAGGACTATAATTTTAAAGTTTTTTTAATAGAGTATGAAAAATTTACATCGATAGAGTCACACAGAAGTTGTCAAAGACTTTAATTATGATCTTTTAAATGAGATTTGTAATAAAGAACGTGTGTCTCTTTTTTCTTTTTCTTTTGAAAATTTTTACAAAAATACGATTCGACTTCGTTTCATGCGGGTAGAATTCCATATTTTGTCAAGTATAATGAGCATTGCAATATATTTTTAAGTATTATGTAAAAATAACGAAATACATTTAATTACCAACACGAACTTCCAAAATAACACAAAATTTCAAAGTGACAGTAAGTATATTTATTATTCTGTTTAATTGACAAACCCATTTTTATATATCATTCCGATTGATTTCGAATATTCGATCTTTAGGATATTTCATTCGAAATGACGACAGTTAAAAATTTTTCGATTTTCCAATCAGAATCAGGCAAATATCTGTAAGTTATAAATACCAAACTGAATATGAGAGTTCGACGTGCCCGCGCAAAATATTATTTTATTTAATATAAAATGAAAATATGAAAAATAAGTGCAATTAATCACATCGGTAGAAATACCGTATCGTGTTCGTTTCAATCGATACAAATGAAATATAATTCATACGACTCGGTTATTTTCCCTCGTCTCCGCGAAAATATTGTCGACAAAAAAATGTCTACCCATGTCTTTCTAGAAATTCTATTTTGCGTTCTGAATCATTGATATCCCATTACTCTTCTCGTTTCGCGCAGTTATCCCCGTTGACAGTTTATTATTAACGACAATAATTTTTGACGATCACACATAATATCGTTAGAGAATGGTATCCAATAAATGTTCTATTAAGAAGGAAAATAAAATGAATCAAGCTTTAGATAGTTCCTTTCTCGGAGCTCCAATTTCATCTTGGCAAGTTACGAACGATGCGAAAAATAAACTAAGAAAATGAACGAAACGAAAGATATGAAGAAAGAAGGAAAGAGAGATAACGAGAGAAAGAGAGATGGATAGATCGAAGACAGGATACCTTCCAACGTCGTAACTTGAAAATCAAGATCGAACGCATATACGCGCTTACCCAGGATACCTGTCTGCTCTTATTCACGTAAGTGACCGTATGAAAAGAACGTGGTCTTCTGTCAAAGTAGTACAGCAATTTCCGCAAACGAGCTTTTCCTTTGACAAGCCGTGTATCTCGCTTTAAGGTGTTTTCACTTCCCTTCGCAATAGAGTCCACGCGTACATCGCGTAATTTAAATTGCCGTAATACGTCAAGTCATAGCGTGACGTTAGTTTCCTAAATAATATGGTGGCATGCATCCATTGCATCCTACTCTCTGTTCCCTCTACTATACAACTATTTCTACCTTTTTCTACTCTTTTCCTTGTTCGTCTTTTTCTTCCTCGTTCCGTGCCACTAGAAAGCTTCCTCGTAATATGCTTTTAATCTCAGCCAACGACCCAGCCATCGTTCAACATGCTTCAACGTTAATCCGCCTTGCGTTTCATTACTTCGATACGTTTCGTCTGAAAGATAATTTAAAAGACGATTTTTTCTCTCGAGCTTAACAAAAAAAAAAAAAAAAGAAAAAAAGAGAAAAAGAAACTGTGCTTCAACGTAAGGTCCTTTTACTTTTTCAATGTCTTTAGACGTCGATATTATTAAAAGTTCATTTTTTCAAATTAATGAGCTTACCTCGTTGGTCTCAATTAAACGCCACGACCACCCAACAACTACGATGAGCTCCATCCAATTTGCCCTTTTCTCTCTCTCTCTCTCTCTCTCTCTCTCTCTCTCTCTCTCACGCTGAAACTTCTCCGGACACCGCGGTGCACGTGGGAGAATCCAAACGCGGCAAGTTTAATTCAATCTAAACCGCCGTGTTTGCTCTTCGCCGTGTTTACCGCGCGACGACGCACCGCCGCAGTGGCAATTTATGTTACGCTATTGCGTTTCGCGATCAATTTGCATTTAGTCCTAGGGCGATTCTATTTTATGTTACGTTGGCTCGTACGATTTGTAATTTGGCGAGAGATAGTTTGACGAATTGTCATCGTCTCAATGACTCGATTATTTAACTATTCGATTTTTCTCTTTTGCTTTTTTGAATCTCACAGACTCGAAGTTAAAATGATTTTTGATATAAGAAAAAGAATAAAAAGTGTACAAATAAAATATCCTTCCCTTTTCAAATAGGTTGACATATATTTGAACGAAAAGAAAACATGTAAATTATAATAATTCTTATGAAAAAGAAGTGAATGTATTAGCCATTAGTATGAATTAATAAATTATATTCATTTTTATCAATGATCGAACAAAAATGCATCCCATGCTGTTTTACTTAAACACTTTGTGTACTCAGGAGTAGCATTAAAAATGTATAGTTTAATCGTTTTAGTGCTGACCACATGACGTGTATATATGCGTTGTCGGCAGGTTTTGTTTCTGAAAAATATATATACCGCGATCGATATGCAAGTAATTGCTACGTAATGGATGCATCGAACTGTGAGGTATCCGATCGATAAAAAATCGGCCAGAGATAAAAATATAAAATTCTTCAAACATTCTTTTAATTGAGAGAATTTGACATTCTCTCGATTATAATATTAAGCGAACAAAAAAAAGAAAAAACAAACAAATAAAAAAGTGACAAGCATTCTCAATTTTCTGTTAATTTCATTCCTCATATTTATTTGTTCAGTTGTTTATTTTAAATTGGAAAAGATCAATAGGAGGTTAAACGTTACGATCGATGAAAAATGTCGAAGAAAAAATCTGAGAAAACGGTGACCTCCGTGAAAAGTAAAAAACAATACAACGAAAATGCATGGCAAGAGCTTTTGGAATCATTATCAATTAATGACGATCATTGGTGGTGTATCGTAACAATGATGATAGAGACTAAGAGTGATCATGCACGATGTGTGTCGATGTTTAACGAAGCTGCAGAAGAGGGGAAACGAAAAGCGATTTATACTCTGAGCCATCAGAAAATGTTAGCTAACGTTAGGTCACTGTCTAGACAGGATCCAGATAAATGTCCAGTTCTACAACGAGTTTGCCATCATGCCAACAAGCTACTCGAAGCTAATATTGAATCTACATGGTTATTAGCACGCGTTATCAAATATATGGTCTATCGTGCTAAAATAGAATCGGTGGTTAAAATCAAGAAGGAACAGGAATTAAAACGAGCTATCGATGATGAATATCATATTATGCAGACTGTTGTTGATCCAAGTAATTCAATTTTCTAATAAAATCAATTAAGAGCTAAGATTGTTAATTATTATCTATTCGTTTAGTTCGTTAGAACAAATTTTACTTGATTAATTGTTCTATTGATAAAAAAGTTAATACATTTTAATAATCCTTATAGCTACGTTGAGAAGTGTTAAAAAAACGTACAATCAGTTCTTGAGAGGTAAAGCCAATACTCGGCTTAGAATTCGAGAAGAAGAATGGAGAGACATAGTTTACATCGATGATGCTCCACTCGACGGACCTAATCTGTACGTCGTTTTAACGGGTTTTCACGATCCTGATCTATTCGTAGAACTAATGAACATTGGTGTACCTATGACTTGTATACTCAAGATAAAAAGACCTGGTGAAACATTAGAACATGTTTCGTTATATTACAACGAAGAAAAAAATCAAAATATCAATAGAATGTGGTTATCCTTTCCTGAAACTTATACCGTCGATAAAGTCGATCTTTATAAATTCTGGACATCATTGAAAAACACTTTAAAAGATCCACAAGCCATTCAAGTATTTTCAAACGTAGCATTTCTTACTTACAAGCCACCATTTTTGGCAGAGACATTTGATGACTTTGAATACAAAATTCTCAAGAAGGATATTTTCGATAAAATATCCTTTATCGTGTACGATCTTTACGATCTTCTTCGAAAGCATTCCAATTACCTTAGAAGCATGTTAATCCAGCGTTACGACATCGATGAGAAGGAAGAAGCTGAGGCTAACGTCTACCGTGCAATTCTCGATGCTCTACCAACGGAATGCGTCACCGTGCCAACATTACTTAATGCTCTTTTACTGCAGGTCGAAGCCAACTTAGACGTCCTGGTAGATCGATCGTTCCAAGAGCAAAATGTTCCAGCAAAGGAAAATGTCGTCGAAAAGGTTAGCTCGATTCTTACCGATCTATCGCGACTTTTACACGGTACATAGATTCCGTTTAACGCGATTTCCTCGATAACGTTCCGAATCTTTGAAGGAAAAGAACGAAGAAGAGGAAGTGCCAGTTGAGAGTATCGATGACGATGAAGATACGTGGGTTAGAAAAAGAGTCAAAAATTTAAACGAAAAGTACAAAGTTAAAACGTATAAAAATATAGTAGAAGAGAATTTCAACGAATTGCCAATCGAATTGATTCTTCACGGAGACAAATTGACTCTGAATACTCGTCACATTAATTTGGATAATAATATCAAAATGATGTTGAATCTATCCGATGACATGACCTTGGCTGATTCAATTTTGCAAGTTTATCAAGATCCTAGAATAGTCGATTGTTGGTTACATCATGAAGAATTAACAGAAACCAAAATGAAGGAGTACGATTGCTATGTCAATAATATAATCAAATACTTTGATTCCAGTGTTCAAATCTGTCGAGAGAACATATTTCATTATTTGCATTTTTTGATCTTCGACAAGATGATCTATGGCAATCAATTCAAAGAAAAGGATGAAAAAATTGAAACGCTATCAATTATTTCTCCTTCAGAATCTCCGCGTAGATATTCAACGTATCCTTCGTTGTTTTTGCCAAAAGATAAAAAAAAGAAGTCAAAATTCTTTTCGAAAAGCGACACTGAGATAGACTATGGAAAGGCCGTGGCTGCGTTCTTGAGTTGTCCAAGTCTCTTTGGACTCACCGATATAAGGGAAGTTTTGTTACCGAGTTATTTGGAGAAGAATGTCTTCGAGGAAAGAAATAAAAGAATGCAAAGAATAGAAGAACCACTTGAAGAATACGATGATGTCGAGTTACTTCCAAAAAAGATTCTTCTACAAACCCTTTACGAATGCTTCCAAAATTTCGAACGTTTCGAAAAAAGATATTTTGAACCGACGGATTCTATATTATTGTATTTCAGTAATGATTATGTAATAGGTGATGTATCCGAACGTACGACCGTATCTATCTTACGTACACCAGTTTGTCTACGAGATTTCGTTAAGTACGTATATAAAGAAGAGATCGATTGGATAAATCAAGAAGAAGAAAAATATCGATTGGAATTGATGAAGAGAACGAGTAAATCGTTGTTCGGTGGAATTAATTCTATGGAAGACGAACTTCGTCTTTATTTCGGCGATGAACATTTTATTCTTCCGAATTCATTGAAGGCTCAGGATTTAAAAAAAAAATTACAAGCCGACTCGAAACGAAAAGATTTTTCAAGATTCGATACACCTAGGACGGAAGTAAAGGGTGAGAAAAATATTCTCAAGGATAGTAAGAAAAAGAAAGGTGGTAAAACGTTGAGCGAAAATATCTCGTTGAAAGACAGAAAACAGAAAACGAACAGAGAAACAAATGAAATCGACACTTCCTTTTTACCTCGAAGGAAGATCCTATCTTTCGAATCTGCCAAAGAAGATGAACCTCACGAGTTCATAGGGTATGACCTCGGGAACTTGCGAGTTCAGATAGTCGAGAAAAGTAAGATCTTCAATTCGAAGGATGGTACGTTCGTACAAGTGAATCTCGAGACTTGGTTTTACGAGAAGGTGGATTTACGTATTGCTATTACCCTTGTTGGTTGTACCCTACGTTTGTTCGAAAAACTCAACGATCGTAAAATGTCGAACGTTTTTCATGTTACCACAAACAAAGGGATCGTTCTTGCTTTTTCCAAAAATATCGGTAATACGAATGAATCATTTTTCTAATTTTCGTTATAATACTTTGGCGCTATATTTATATAGCCATAATAAGTAAATAGATGTAAATATAACTTATAAGTATTTTTTTTTTGTATTATTATTTTACAAATAACCAAGGTAATATATTTAAAATTTATAAAATATTAGAAATATTCATATAGAACCTTTTAGTAAATTATTTTTCAATTTTTCCACTTACATTTCCGAATATCAACAATTGATAAAAATAAAATATCTATTTTTAGATACAACTCCGAACGAGTTCTATTGGAAGAAATTGGAATTTGATTTTCATGCCTCTTGGCCATCAGGTTTGACAATTTCACCAGTTACCGGGGATGGTCCTGAAAATCCTTTTTATATTAGCCAGTCATATATTTCTAAAGCACCTGAAGACGTTAACCGAGAAGCTTATCGAAAGTTTTTAAGGAATGGTACAGTTTTGAAATTTCTCGATGACAATACCGTCATTGTATTGCGTCCGAATGGTGTAGTCATTGAATGCACATCATTCGAGGATATAACAATGAATGAAAATAATCTCAAGGAAGGTAAAGGATTTCTTGTTAAAAATTATTCGTAGTGATCGAGATAATAATAAATTTTTTTTCTATTCGAAAGATCATGAAATAAAGCAAAGAAAGTCAAATGATATAACATCTAAAAAAAAACTAGAAAAGAAAAGATCGTCGATCAATAACAAAATTCTTCCATTGGTCGCTGAGGAGAACGAGGATGTTGAAAGAATATCTTCAAAAATGACGGACGAACTGATGGTTAAGTTTCGTTCCAGATGGAGCACAACAACGATTAGAACGATTTGACAACGAAGGTTTTCAATATAAATTAATACCGAAGTCTGACCATTGTCTTTCTTTTTTTTTCTTTTTTTTTCTTTTTTTGTAAAACGTCTTTTAACTTTTTTTTTTGTCAATATAATAACTATATAAAACAGAATTTGTCGAAATTCTACATAGATAGAATTATAGTATAGATTTATGATCTTTGATAAAAAGACCATATAATTTTGATAAAATCTATAAGGGTACTTAATCACCCTTTCGATTTATTATATTTTATCTTCCTTGGTTACAATTTAACGACAACCAATGGAATATCCATGAAAAACGACTGATGTTACTTATTTCCTTTCAATTCTCTTTTTTTTTTTTTGTTCGCTCTAATTGCAATAAAATTGGCTCTTTGATAGCATTTTTCGAAAATGGAAGAAATAGATCGGGATGAATGCGATCCATATGAAAATCATATTTTTCAATATTTTCGTGCGATTGATCGCTATTGGAATTTTTGGAAATCAGAATCAGTTGGACATTCGTTCGGGAATGCAGTATCCAAGGATCAAAGTGACAGGATACAATGTTCTGGATCACGATGGTAAACGGTACGAGGTGCTATGCGATCTGATTGTGCGCGAATACGATCGATTACTGGTGAGAGCGAATTCGGACTACGAGGTCGACGAAAATTTCATGCGACGATCCGACGGGACCGACATGCTGTTCCGTTCGAATGGCGAATTGATCGTCCATTTTACTGGTTCGTTTTCCTCTTAGAATACTTACTTTGAATTTATTAGTCCTTTATGTTTCCTTTTTCTTTTTTTTCTTCTTTTTCTACAAACTACTACAAATAAAATATTAATTACTATTATTAATCAAAGTTACGAGAATCAATTTAGATATATTTACGAGATATCACATTAGATTAGACGATTAACGAAGAAATGAAATAAAATGTAATTTGTTACAAATAATGTTAATTCATGAAATGAACAGATGGTACACGCATTACGACTGGCTATAAAATCGAAGAAGAACCTTTGATCTGTGATTGGACAGTGGACGAGTTTCAACGTTACTTTGGATCGATCAAATTATATGAACACGGTGATGAACTTTTCGAAGTAAACTCTCGTAGCAACAACAGCAATAACAAGGACAACAGCAACGAACTTTGGCAGGAAGAACCTTTAAACGAGAATGGTCGATACGAAAATGAAATGACGAGGATATTGATCGCAGACGGCTTTGTCTCGGTTCTATTGACTTGCCTGTTCGAGCACAAGAACTATGCTAGTGTATCCTACGATCAGTCAGCAGTTAGTTGCACTCTATCGATGCCAGCCGATCTTCGAGTCAGCATATCGCGAAGAGGTCATTACGAAGTTTGGGCGCCTGGCGAAGTTAATCTCAAGGTAATCAAAGGGCAACTACTGTACGACAACGACGACGACGACGAGACGACAGTATATGGAAGAAGGGTAGTAAAGGGGGAAAGTAGAGAGAAGTAGGGGGAATAAGAGAAGTAGAGATTGACTACTTTTCCAATATCGGAAAATCTCCATCGATCGTAGTTGAGCGTCTTAATATGGAAATCATTCTTTTACAATATTTCAATATCCTATCTTGATTTTTTTTTCTTTGTCCAAAGAGAATTGAAGAGAGAGAGAGGGGAGTAAGAGAGAGAGAGAGAGAGAGAGAGAGAAAAATAGGGAGATAGGATACATCTCGGTATTTACCGAAAATTTAATAACGAACGCTAATACAATAACGTTTTCACGTCGACGTTTATACACGCTCACAGATGTAGGAGGTACAGATATACGTATAGAGAAAACGTGAAAGAGTAAAGTGCCCAGCCGGTATTAATAATCCGGTTGCTCTCGAAAGTACGACTGCTCGGGCATCGATATTTCTCGGTGAAAGAGGATTCACTCGGATTGAAATAAAACGAGACGATGGGAGGATAATCCCAGTTACAAATAGTACTTTAAACGCATACATGTATAAATGGGAAATATTTAATATAATACTGACGTAATGTCAATATTTTTTTTTTTTTTAAATATAATCACATTTCTTATTTTATTATTATATTTATTAACGAAGAGATTTTAAAGGAATTGGTTTCTTTCTCTCTCTCTCTCCCTCTCTCTCTTTCTCTCTTTCTCTTTTTTTTTTCTATCTTTATTCTTCGTTTTCTCAGATCGAATCGGATAAATTGATCTTCAGTAGCGAGATGTGTGCCACCTGTGCCGGAAGGTCCACCTCCGTCTATAACTTTTACAGGCGATTCGAGCCAATCGCTTCGACGATCTTTACGAGCAGCGATCTTTTCGGAAACGTTTTCGAGGTTAAAAGTGACGGGACGACGAGTTACCGTGGTAAAAGTCGCGAACGACCGTCACGGAAATTCGATTTCAACGAGAATGGCCTGGATGACGTGGAAACGTCGGAAGGAGAGTACGAAGAATACGAAGAAGAGAAGGAAGAAGAGAAGGAGAATGTAGAAAAATCAGTGGACCCGAGGAAACATTACAACCATATGAGCGATCATGAAAAATATTGCCAAGAATACGAAGTATACTCAAAACAAGCCAATCCACGATACAGAATATTTTCAATGAATCGCGATTTAACGGCTTATGAGTATCTTCATCGATCGGTCAGACATCGAGAAAAGATGATCGTTGTTCTTAACAAGAAGGCAAGTGCCATCGCCCATCCGGTTTGCGTTCATCGATCGAACCTCTATCGTCTGATTACATTTACGCCTCTGGAAACTGAACTTCGATCAAAGGCATTGTTACAATCGTATCGGGTTAGACCATCGATTCAATATATTAGCATGTTCTTCCTTTCCTCTCTCTCTCTCTCTCTCTCTCTCTCTCTCTCTCTCTCTCCCCCAATCTCTTGATCTCTATCTCTCTCTCTCTCTCTCTGTCTCTCTCCCAATCTCTTGATCTCTCTCTCTCTCTCTTTCTCTCTTGCTCTCCCCTTGTCTCTTTATCTGTCTATCGGTCTGTCTACTTACTAAGCCATTTATCTGTTTGGCTTTGATGTGACCAAATGAATAGTCTTTGTGAAATAGTCTATGCAAAGAGAAATGCATTTCGGAAAGCAAAGATCGTTAAGACGTATCGAGAAAAAGAAAGAGAGATAGATAGATAGATAGAGAGAGAGAGAGAGAGAGAGAGAGACAACTCTATCAAGGAAATAAATTTTCTAACAACTCTTGCTCCCTATCGAACAGATTCCGAAAGTCAAACCGACGAACAGCGACAGAAGAGATTTGCTACGTAGTACGTATTCGATTCCATACGATTGGCTCTTTCCATTTGGCAGAAACGGCCATGGAATTTGCAGCGATACATACGACATGCCGTTGGCCAAAACTATTGAGAGACGCCCACCGAGAACTCTGCGGCTTCGTATATTGCATGGTTTCAAAGAACCCGATAGAAATGCCATAATCGATTTACAAAAAGCTATGGCATGCTATTGGCGATACGTTAGTGTTACTTAAACATTTTCACTTTAATCCTATCATTCATTTTGTTTTGGAATTTTATAAAAAATGAGAAATTTACAAACGTTATATGCTGAGTACTTTTTTATGATAGATCTTATTCTTCTTTAATTAAACGAAACTAGACAGGTTATCGATACCGTCAAAGTTTTACGATTAATTTTAAAATATGAACATATTTCGATGAAGTTAACTTGTAACATTGAAAATTGTTATCATCGTTATATTTATTCTTGAAACGAATGCATTTTCAGTTTTAATCTCGAAAAATAATTTTACATGTTCACTTGCAGTTGTTAGACAATGTCGATGAATGTCGAAGGTATCTCCCCGGTGAAGAGTGTGTTCTTTCCGAACTCGAAGACGATTACAAAACTTGGAAAGATAATATCAGAGAGTTCGCTCTCGGTATACGAACGAATATTGACGTTGCGACTTATGTTGATAGTTTGCAACGATGTCAAATAAAAGAAAGTCCGAAGAAAGCAGAACACACGTCTAATAGGTTGAAGGATTTGATGGAATCGAAAAAAACAAACGAGATCCAGCTCGAATGGTATAAACGTTGCTGGAGGGATCAAATTATCCTGCCATATTTCAAGAACGTCGTTG